AGATCTTTGCAAGCTTTGACTTAAAAGAAGGCCCTTTTATCGATCGGGAGTAAACTTTGTCTACTTTAACGCTTGGCAAATTCAACAGAAATTGGTATTCCTCGAGGGTTGGAGTCATGTCCTCTCGGTTGAATGTGAAACAACTATAGGCCGGATTCCAAAACTGTATTATGCTTCGTATGAGAACCGGATCTACCTTCACGTATATCAGATGAAATATATCCCCATAAGTCCGCTGAAAAGCTTGCCTCTCAATAAGATTCCAACTTTCCCAAATTGTTTTCAATCCCTGAAGCTCATTCTGTTTTAAAGAAGCTGGTGTATAATCAGACAGATCCGACACGTAGTTCCCTGATAGACTATCTCCCTGCTCTTTCTGCTTGGCTTCGGACCAGTTCCTTACATCTGCTGGATTCACTTCTTTGTTTAGGAAACTCCTTTCCATCGTGAAAGTCTTTCCACTTTATCGATACTCACAGATCAATCGCCTTTTCTAATGATATGTCTATGCAGTATGAAAAAAATAAACAAAACAAACAAAACAGTTAGTCAAAACAATTGTATAAATTTAACATAAAAAGATATATAAAACAGGAAATAAATCTATTATATTTATGTATTATCTACCCGAATAATATTCCTCAAAAAGGGTCCTACCCGAACATGCTCTCTACCCTCCTAAATTAATTAAATTCTAACTGCACCTAAATTCTATTTCACATGCTTTAACAGAATAAATCTATTCTACACACTCAAAAATAAATAAATAAAATAAAATAAAAAGGTTAGAGGGTTTCTCCATTGTGTACGCCTATTTTGGGTACCTATTGGCGGACAGAGGTTCAGTATGACTCTACCTAGTGTGACCGTTCTATGGTTCACTATATGCATGGTTTCAGCTCTAACAGGAAAAAAAGGACTCGAATTGTCCTTGATGTCGATGCCCCCTTGGGCTACCAAACCCTCAATCCTCACCCATTACAGGTTTCAAAAGGACCGAGTTCAATTCGAGGGGATTCACTGCCTTATACCCATGCGAGGAATAAATTCCTACGAAGGTATAAGGTATGTATCCCATGGGTTGTTTGCTAAAACTCATACGAAGAATAAATTCTTACGAGAGTAAAGCAAACACCCTAACTAACTTGGATCGAAGCTCATGTCTAGAGCTCGTGTTATGCTAATGAAAGTGATGTGTGTGAGGAGAAACAAACAAACCTTTGACTCAAAAAAAAAAAACAGGGAAAATAAAAAAATAACACCAAACGAGAACTAAGAAATATCTAAAAAAAACAATTAAAATGTTAGTATATAAAAATAAAGAGATAAAATAATAAATAAAAATTCAATAAATAGATCATAGTTTTACTAAAGATTCGAACTTATAATTTCAACCATAACGACCATATATAAGCGACCGACAGCCTGACTCTCTAGAGGTCCCCAGCAGAGTCGCCAAGCTGTCATAACCATTTTTTAGGTGGAACCATTATTTATGGTTTAAAAAAACGATTACGACTTTAATTCGGAAAATTTGGTGATTTTGAACGGATTTGAATAAAATTGAAAAGAGTCGCCATCGACCTTTGGGTTAGGTAGGTCGAGTACCTAAAAACGTCTTTTAAAAACAATTTTAAGAAAAATAATTTTATAAGACAAAATTTTGGTCTACGTTACCAAAGATTCATTTAAAACAGGTTCGGGAGTCGGTTACGTGTGGGGAAGGGTAAACACCCCACAACGCAAAAAATTGGTACTGTGTAGCTTACATATCGTCGTAAATGGTGGAAATTACAATTTGAATATGAAGTAAAAAAATATGATCTATTTATTGAATATTTGTTAAAATAATAGAAGTACTTCACTTGGTAAGAAATCTCAAGATTTGCAATCCTCCAACGGGAAAGCTATCTCATCTATTTCTTATCGATAAAGTATATCCTATCTTTGAATTACCACTAAATAATATCGTCATGAGTAGAAAATAAAATATGCTTAATTTATGTATCGTTAATATTAACATAACAACCATTACTACAATAAAAATTATGAAAATAGAATAATAAATAAGTTATGATCTATTTATTGAATATTAGTTAAAATAAATAAAAAAAAAATCCTTTTCTCGATAAGAAATCCCGAGATTTGCAATCCTCCGCCGGGAAAGCTACCTCGTCTATTTCTTACTTGTAAAGAATATTTTCTCTTTAAATTAAAAAAATATCGAAAATTGACATAAAATGCATCATATTATACTTTTCCAAAGCATACATCATTCATATTAAGAATCAAGAAATAAATAAATAAAGATTAAAATTTAAACATCAAACAATATGAACATAAAATAAAATAAAATAACAAGAATAGAATAACAGTAAAAAATTTCATAAGATCGTACAAAGGAAGAATTTGTACTTTCAAATCCATATTTTATTTGAACGTCGTATCGGATTGCACCATTTCGGTCAAATAGTACTTTCCACGCCCGTTCTACAAATTCATGTTCTTGAAAAATATTTGAATGAAATTAACAACTAAGGAAATAAAATAGAAACAAATATGATTGCAAATGACAAATAAAATATTTACAATATTAAATAAGAACATTTACTATACATGTATGAAGGATTGAAAAGCAAACAATTAAATATTACAAACCAAACTAAAATACCAAAATAAATCATTTAAGGCAATAAAATGTAATTAACGGAAATTAAAAGAGCTAAAATGACGAAAAAAAAAATATTAGGGACTAAACTGCAAAAATACAGGAAGTTAAAGGACCAAAATAGATATAATCGAAACTTTAGAAACCAAAATGAAAAAAAAAATTGGGAACTAAAACAGTAAAAAAACAGAATCTTCAAGGGCTAAACAGCAAAAACAGGAATTTAAAATACTAAAATCAATAACAGAAAGTTAAAGGACCAAAATACCAAAAACAGAAACTAAAGGACTAAACAGCGATTACAAAACAAACAGAACCCAAATATAAAACATTAAAAAAGACAAATACTAGAAACCAAAATAACTCAACAATATTTTTAAGGACTAAAATAAAATGAAAGTAAAACAAGTAAGCCATATTCAGCATTTAACCCAATATATAAAAGTAGTGATCAAAAATGCATTCAGAATCAAAATACATGGATTATAAACATAAATAAAACATGTATTTCTTTTACATAGTAAATAGTGACTAAAATGAACCAACAATAAACTATACTGCACATGTATAAATAAATTAAAGTTTGATGGCTGAAATACAGATATAACCACAAAAATATTTAATAGCAAATAATGACGAAAATGTAACAAAAATAAAATAAAAGCTCAAAATGAAATGATGGAATTTCATTAAAGTGGTAAGATTACAACCATTACACAAGCTGCAGGGACCTAAACTGTTGTTTACCCATAAACTCTAAGGACACGCGTGCAAGATTACAGAGGTAAGAGGACCAAATGGGCTATTAGCCCTTAATCCCACCACTCGGCCTCACTCATGCCTCAAAACGACGTCGCTCGACGTCTGAAAATATAACCCTTTTAAGGGTTATATTAAAACCCTAAAATCATTTACTCTCCCCCTCATTTCCTCAGCCGTAGACCCAAACCCGTGGGAGAGAACTCTCCCTCGGCTCACCGCCATGGGAGGCGACCAAGCCTCCTGCCACCGCTAATCAGTGGCCACTAAACCTAAACCGATCAACTATCCCCCATTAACGACCTCTCCTTTGAAACCCAACCTCTAGAACCCAAACCCACAACTTACCACCCGAACCGGACTCCCCCCAAAACCAGAAAAACAAAGGCTTTACCTTCAGAAATGGGGCTAGCTGGAATCGGAGAAGGTCACAGCGAGATCCACGGTGGGGTTAGAGAAGGTAAAACTTTTTTTTTCTCCCCTTTTTCTTCTGTTTTTTTCTGTTTCCCATTTCCTTTTTCTTCTTTTTTCTGTTCTTTTATCTTTGCTTCCCTCTGGATTCCTGGTGAGATGATGATGATATCTAGGTAGATAGGATTTGATTTCTCTGATTGGGTGAATAAAATCCAGATTTTTCGGGATTTTAGGGTGCTATTCTAATGGGTTTTTTTTAGATTTGGGGTAAGTTTAGGCCACTGTTATTTGATTGGGTTACTGTTTTTACAGGAACCGGTCACTGTTCATGCAGGAGAGCAGTCGGCGGCGACGGGACACCTCGGCTTGGTGGCTCGGTGATTGGCTCACGGTTGCTCACGCGGCTCAGGCATGACTGGTGAAGATCAACGTGCGGCTGGGGGATTGGAATCTGGCTTGAGCGGCGGCTGTGTAGTTAGGGGATTAGGGTTTGAAACCCTAGTCTGATTTAGGGTTTGAAACCCTAAACTGATTTAGGGTTTGAAACCCTAAATTGATTTAGGGTTTGAAACCCTAATCTGATTTAGGGTTTGAAACCCTAATCTGATGGGTTGGTTCAGTCTGGGTTGTTGGGCTCCGGGATTGGGCTTGTCACTTGCCACCTGGGCTTTGGGTTGGCTGCTGATTTGGCCTTGGGTGTGTAATTGGGCCTGTACAAAATTTGTAATATATAATTTAATAATAATAATAATAATAATAATTAATAAAATTAAATAATATAAAAAAAAGACCCGGACAAAAACGGGTGTCTACAACGTATACCTTATAAATATAACTGTTGAAATTTAAAATCTTAAAAAAAATAACACTTCCTTTTATTACTGTACATATAAATTTGTTTTATACTAAAACAATTTGCTGTGGATATTAAGACTGAATGTTGCAAAGTCATTATCAGTAGGCCCATCATTGCATAACCATGGAAATATGGAATCGATTCATAAAATTTGCTTTGGTCTACGTTCACATTTCATCAATCTATATGCTTAATCGGACGGTCCAAATTGTCATGTCCATCAATTTCCATATACCTTTGTCCCATTAATCAAATGGAGAAAAATAAAATCAAGACATTGTATAAGGCAAGGGAGTGATAGTTTCTATACAAACACCGATTCATTTCCTTGTGGTTTCCGTCTCTCCTTTTCTATAATAATATTCATACCATCTTATAAAAGTCTACCATGTTTATCTTCAACCTTCCTTTTCCATCATCTCTCTTAAAACCCCACCATTTGTGATCCATGTGTGCTCTAAATCTCTTTCCCGCCATGGATTTAGACGATGCGAGGCTCGCAAAAAGAAGAAGAACCAAGCTTGAGGTTGAAGATGATGATCGGCAACGGCGGACAACAACCGGGATGGAAACCCTTCCCGGTGAAATCGTCGTCGACATACTCTCCAGGCTGCCGATCACATCTTTGGTGCAATTCAAGTTCGTATGCAAAGGGTGGCGTGCTTTAGCTCAGGATCCTCTCCTTGTTGCAGATATGTGCAAAACTCACACAACAAATCCATGTCTCATCCTTCACAGCGATTTTCCCATCCGAAACCACCTGTATTTTGTTGATTTATCTCCGAACAGCCAAGACAAAGACAAGGTAAAAAGATTATATGTGCCTTTCCAGACATCCATGCCTGAATTTGATGTAGTTGGATCATGTAATGGTTTATTATGCTTGTCTGATTCTTTATACAACGAGGCTCTTTATATCTACAACCCTTTCACCATGGATTACATCGAGCTGCCCGAATCTCGACAGTATCCTGATCAGGAAGTAGTGTTCGGATTCGGATTCCATCCAAAAAGCAAGGAATACAAGGTAGTTAAGATAGTTTATTATAGGAACACTAGTAGTAGTAGCAGCAGCATCTACAGTCGTACCAGGAGAGTCGTGTATCCGCATTCGGATGTTCAGGTTTTCACTCTGGGATCCTCTGCCTGGAGAAGCCTAGGGAAAATACCTTACCAGCTCGTAAGGCGACCATTGGAGGCATTGGTCAGCGGAAGGCTTCATTGGGTGAGTAGGCCACGGAGATATCACCCGGCTCGACGCATTATGTCGTTCGACTTAGGGACCGAAGAATTCGAGGAGGTCCCGATGCCTGATTGTGGTGGCCTAAACAGGTGTAACTTCCATGTGTCTGTTTTAAGAGGTTGTCTTGCAGCAGCTGTTTATAGGAATTATGGGAAACTGGAGATATGGGTCATGAAGGATTATAATGTGAAGGAATCTTGGACTAAAGAGCTGAGCATTGGAGCTTATATGCCAAAATGTTTGAAACAAAATTTGGACCGAGATAACAGGCCATTGAAGATCTGGAAGAACGCGAGTGGTAAAGTGGTTCGAGTCCTTTCCGTTCTGGAAAATGGTGAAATCCTGTTGGAGTATAAGAACAGGGTTCTAGTTTCTTATGATCCAAAGAAAGGCAAATTTACAGATCTTGTGTTCCAGGGGAACCCTCATTGGTTTCAAACAATTGTTCATGCAGCAAGTTTCAGTTGGATCCCTTCCTTGATGGTATGAAACTGATGATAATGTTTGTTTCTTAGCTCACCACATCTCATTGTAATTTGTACCAGTATTGTTTGTTATACAGAATCAAAATCTGGGAAATCTAGAGCTTGAATCTAGGCTTTACAGACTGCATTTCTTTTACAATTAACATCAACCAAATCAGTTTTGTGAAGCCAAAGTTAAAAAAGAACTCAACCACCAGGGGTGCAAACAATTAAAATTTTATGATATCTCGAAAGTATAGTAAATCAACTCTTTTCACACATGATGATAGAAAAAATGAGGGTTTTGTCCGTCTTCCAACTCACCTTACTAGAATAAAAATCACTCTTTTCATACATGATGATAGAATAAATGAGTTACCTCCATCGTTAGTAGTTTAACCCTTCTGATTTGAGTAGAAAGTTATAGTCGGAGACAAAATGTGAGTGATTGATGTTTAGTATCGATTGATTTTAGATCTTTAACACATCACGTTCATCTGTCAAATGTCATATACATTATGCCAAATGATTGTGGTTTCTTTATGTACAATGAAAAAAAATACGAAAATTATATAACACAATTTTTTTGAATTGTTCGTGGGTGTGCTCAGATAATTAAGGGTTCAAAGCAAAAGTAAGTGGGTGTTTAATTAATTAATTTGCAACTCTTTTTGCTAGTGTAAATGAGAAAATTTTCAAAATCCTAAAGGAGTGCTTGGGATTGGTAGTTCATCCACTTAAAGTCTTGCACCTAAAAAAGAGTTAAGTGGAAAAAGAGAAGTCATCACATCTGTGCTTTTTTCCACTGCTCTAAAGGAGTCTATCAAGTGTCATCTAGTGGCACATGTTCACACATTCTTCTCTTCATAATACAACTCTTCTAAGCTACGTGATTAAAATATGTATCAACAATAAATAACCAAAGTAGTAATGATTTGCTCTCTTTTTTTACTTTTTATGTATTTGATTTTAGGGTAAAGTACACAAATGAGTCCTTTGACTATTAAAAGTTACAAAATTGTCAATTGACTATAGGGTGTTGCTTTGTCGAGTTCCTCAATTATTAAAAATTATAAAATGATCATTCAACTATTCATATGTTTTAGACTTGTCCTTTTCTATTAAAAAAATGACGGTCGATTGAGTTGGACGTTAACCTATTGATCAATATATGATAGCATATGATCTCAAAGTCTCAAACGACTATACAATTCAAATGATTCTAGAATCAGATTTTATCATAACCCGTCAACATGTTAACATCCAACTCAGACGACCGTCAATTTTTTAACAAAAAATGATGGGTTTAGAATATATGGATAGTCATGTGACTATTAAATAGTTGAAAGACTCAACAAAACAACTCCCTTACAGTTAAGATGATCATTTTGTAACTTTTAATAATTTAAGGACTCAACAAAATAATACATGGTTAGTCGAGGGATCATTTGTGTACTTTACCCTTGATTTTAACTAATTCCACGGCCTCGCGCCCCATTCCTTGAAGCTTTCTCATCTCTTTGGCGCATTTCCATGACTTTATGGCATCAGTGGTAGCCAATGCAATGCAAACACATGCGTGAATCATCCCTAACCACTTTCTTTTTAAATAGACTTTCGACATTAAATACAATACATTTATGTTTTATATATAAACAAACTCTAGTGTTCCGTCCATAGTATGGATTGACCATTGATTCATTTACGTAGCTTGATTATATCTCCAATGTAACATTGGCTTCTTTTCCTAAAAGGATTTAATATATGAATATGTTTTATAGGTCGTTGTGGAATGAAATGACGTACTACAATAATTGTGCATTGCGTGAATAGCAATAAAGCGATGATGTGCGAGTTGAATCCTCAGGCCTTTAGTAGGTTGTGAAAGAAAAATGAGAATAAACACGAGTAACAATTTATTAATAAATAATTAACGTCCAAGAAGATAACATACTAAGTGAATAATGTATCAAGTGAGTAGCAATACTTTTTTTTTAAAAAGATGAGACTATGGCCAGTACATTAGAAATTTATTAAACGAGCATAAGGGGGTCCAAGGGAATCTCGATGCATAAGATCAAACAAGCTGGGGGTGTAACCCCTTAGACCGATACGGATAGCCCGATCCGATCCGGGGTGTCACATTAGGGCCATCGAACCGACCCACCGTAAAAATAACGGAAAATATAAAACTTTTCTTAAAACATGTAAATTATAAAATCATTTATGAGTACAAAATAAAATTTATCAGTATTCGAAATAAAACAGATTTTCAGACTTTTATATAAAACAAAATACATTTACATGCCCCCCTAATCACATGTACCATACCTGCAACCAACGCCGGAAGAACTCCCTTGCCGATGTCGATAGATGCACTGATACGATTCTTTTAACTTGCAATGGTGAGTAATAGAGTGAGCTTTGGGAAGCTCATGAATACAATGCTACAATTGATGCTACAAGACATGTAGATAAATGAAAAACCATATAATTTCCTTATTGAATCAAATGTATACCAGTTTGTGGGATAATCTGGGGTTCCATTAGTAGTTCATCAAGTAGAAGCCATGAAGACCACAGTTCATAGGAAACATTCATAGTTTCACGTTTTCATGAGGTCGAATAGGATGTCTAGTTGTTCCAACAGTACAATAAAATCATAATAGGTACACTAATCAAATGATAGTTCAGTAAATCTCATAAATCATACTGTAGTGGAGCTTTTTAAACTCGTAGTTTAAAACCATCGTATAAAGAGTTAACCTAAGGGAACATCTTAGGGCCTGAGAGCATATCCAAGAAAGTTTCGGGGCCACGGGGCCTACCTGAGAACACATCTTAGGGCCGCAGGGCCTACCCGAGAATGATCTCAGGGCCGCAGAGCCTACCTAAGAGTCACATTAGGTCCATAAAAATTTTCCAGCTTTATCATAGCTATACTTTATAAATCAGTATCTCCAAGATACAATTGCACTGTGACATAATTTCCATAAATCCATAAACCATCACCATTAAATCGGTGTATCAATAAAACAGTAACCATAGATTTCAGTGTACAACATGTTAAAACAAATAAAACAATTAAGTAATATATAGGGAACACACTAGAGAATCCAAGTATTTTTCAGAGGCATTTTATAGTTATCAGTATGGATAACATGAAACTTGTGCAATCTGATCGGATTCTAGGAACGAGGTCATATTGAAGAGAATCGATTACTACCCGATCTAATCAGACATTTAAAGTTGATACTTTAGAATTCCACTATGATTCATGTGTATCAGGAAAGTGTTCAGAAACCTTTATACAGAATAATTCTAGATTCATATTTACTGAGCGTGATTCCATTAACCAAATAATTAGGGGTATTCAGGGATATACTTTGAATTCATAGGATTTCGGCCCAATTGAACCAAATGGGGCATTAAGAATCTTTTGTTTCTGCATTACTTGCGTGTTCAGACATTCGAAGTAATTTGAGATGAAAATGTAGAAATGAAAATTCAAGACATTTACAATTTATGTCGATCGATCGGATTATCAAACACTCGACTTACACAACTCCTAGACTAATACATGTCGACAGGTCTATTCAATGCCCTTCCAGGGTATTCATTCTTTAATACTAACAATTCTTGTCCATTGATCACCTTCAGAATCATCACTGAATAGACCTTAAGGAAACGAATCGATATTCTAATGGTCTTTATTTCATTTCCATGTTTCATCTATATCAGAAAATGTTGGCGTACTGAATTTGTGGTTCATAACCCATAGGAATAATACATCATGTAAGTTCATCCGAGTTTCCCGACTTATGCTAATCACGTAATTAATCCTCAGTCATTGAGGTTACATAGTTCATTAAGCAGTCAAGTCTATTCTAGCTATTTTGGGGGTTTTCGGAGTAATTCAGACTTTTTAAAATTTTAGATACATATTGCACTGCTAATCAGTTCAATTTAGTCATATAATAAAGTCATTCTGGTATTCATGGTTGATTTATCTCACGAATATCCATTTCTTATTATTGAATGTGCTCTAGAGTTGAGCTGAGCCAAGTACTTCTAGAATTATCATCAATCCAACTTGAGAAGACGAACATGCATTCAAGTGATATCTATGCCAGTCAAGTACTGGTATAGCATTAGGGTTGATCGACTTACTTAAGCAATGTTCCATAACTTTTAAGGGTAGTACAACACCCATATTTATTTGGATTCCTTAATTAATCCAAGACATTAACTTAGTCTAGTCCATAAAGGCATTTTGGTCATTTTGGTGATCAATATTTTTCCATTCATTTCAAAGCTTAAGGATATCCATTTATTCTTGGGCTTGGTGATATTCTTGAGTTATTTCCATTACAGGGGTATTTTGGTCATTCTATGGATTTGCGGTATTTCAATCCTTTCCTTCTGTCATGTCTTATTATTTAATTCCAATTTATCATCTATTTCAGTCCCTTCGAAAAATTCTGACAAAATAGCACCCTCGATAATTTATTATTAACTCGGAGATTTTCAAGTCAATTTCCTTCTCAGAAGTTACAAACAGGTTATCAGGAATTTTTCTGTACAAAGACGGATCTTAACAATTAAATCCGTAATTTATCGAGTTAAGTATGAATCCTCAAAGTACTTTCTCATTTAGGGTTAACTCAGACTATTTTTACCTCTCAATGGCATTTTCGTAATTTCTTAACCAGATAGTTTCGCTATTAACTCTTAACGAAAATAATTATAACTTAGAGATCTTATGGTTAATTGTTTTCCCGAACATCCTCTGATCTTGAAATGATTCTTTAGCAGACTTCTAGTATATTGCACAAACACTCTTAGGGTTAAAACTAGTTATCCGAATTTTCTAAGCAAAACTAGCATTTTTTATGCACATATGTAGTTTTATCAAATCAATATGTCTTTTCAGAGTTATTAATCAACTTCCAATGACAATTCTTGTCATTTTACAACATAAGGGTATTTTCATAATTTTACCAAATCAGAGTATTCTCATAATTTATCATCCAAATACCTTTAACATTTTACCTTTGATGATATAAATTATAAGTTACATATCCAAGGCTGATTCCTTTATCACTAATCATAGAA